AAAAAAAAATAAATTAAAGTTTATATGTCTGTAAACTAATTTATACTAAACTACTGCATAAATATCTATTCCTTATACTCTATTCCAATCGGAAATATTAAAAATAAAGTTAACCTCCATATTGGCAACACAACTACCATATAAAACATTTTTTTATTTTTTCCAATAACTCAAAACTCTATTTGTATCATTGACGATCAAGCAACTACTTTAGAAAACCGCATAAGTAGAAAACAAAAAACGGTTAGAAAGGGTGGACTCCTAAATGCCCACGCTCATGTGGTGTGGCCGTTAGGAATACGATGAGTGAGATGACCGATACTCAAAATGAAGTTAAAAGGACATACATAGAAAATATTTTATTACAACTCTTACTAAAACAAAAGAGAAAACTTAAAATCACGGAGGCACTTAGCAACAAATAATATATACACATACGAAATGAAAAATATATATACATGCATATAAACAAATTTTTTAGTTAAAGAACAAAGTGCGCTTTTGTTGTTGCGCTCCGGAAAATAAAGCAATTTATTATCGATATATTAATGATTAATTATCGACTAACAAACAACTCAAACAAAAGCGAATATCCAAGCGAATACATACTACATATGTAAGTAGTTTACATACAAAAAGCGAGTGAGCTAAACGTATAGTAAGCACACAATGGTGCAAAACTATTGGTATAAAGTCAGAAAAAGTAATAATCATTGCAGATTCAAATTAAAATTATTATACCTAAATTAAAGCCTAGTATTTTAGCGGGCATATTTATTATTGCATTATTAGCAAAATGTTTAATAAGCTTAACCGTTAGCGGGTGCTTTATTCAAATTTATCTATTCTTAAGTATATTATCAACATAAATCTTAAACAATTTTATTAACAATTAAATTACATAAATAAATAATACACAAGATACTAATAACATTTATATGTATGTATATACATATAGGTATGTATGTACATGAATATGCATATATACGTAGTGCGAACGACACAAATAGATAGGCGCATTTGAAGCGGATTTCCGAAGCATACTTATAGGCGGAATAGGAAAGTAGCATGAGTTGGAAAGGTTTTTGATTAAGCAGCGATAGTAAATTGCGCGCTTGTCAGTGCTGAGCGTAAATGCAAATGGATCTTTCAAATAATAACTAAAGCATGTGCAGAAATTTTGGGTTCTTTTCCTCTTTAATTTTTTTGCATAGAATTTAACTTCCATGAATTATGCTTCAATAAAAAAAAAACGTTTAACCGTTTCTGAAATGGTATCCCTCCAAGAGCACCATCCTTCAGGTTATTATTTTATTGTTGAGTAGTAGTGAACGAAAAAAAAACACAAACATGTGATAACTTTTAAATGGAATGCAACATTAAGTTAACATAATAAAATCGGTGCATACGTACATATATTTTTATATAATTATGTGTTGTAAATATGTTAGTTTGTATGTGTTCAGTAGCAGTTCTCTAAAATCATTGCCAATTGCGCGAAAACTTCTTCCAAATAAAATTCTGCAATCAAAAAAAAAAAACCAAAAATAACAGGTAACCCGTTATTAGCGGTTATTTTTGACCAAAATGTTCTTTACTGGCTTCCTTTACCTGGGAATGTGATTCATGCAGGCATTTTTTTTGTCAACTTATTGCGAAACAAGTTAATGTTTGTATGTAATTGTGTGCATAATTTTTCGAAAGCAACGAATTGAATAGTGCTAGTATAGTTTTAATGAATAACATATCGAGCCCTGCCCGCCAAAATAACGTAAGCGAAATTTTTTTCAAAATTTTCTTTTTGATGCAGAAATATTCCTAGAGCATCTAGATACATTTCTGCATCAAAAGGAAAATTTTGAAAAAAATGTCGCTTACGTTATTTTGACGGTTAGGGCTCGATATGTAAATTAAAAAAATGTATACGTTAAGTAGTGCAAGATGTAGAAATCTAAAAAATTATTTTAATTCTGTATGTTCAGTTGTGGCACTAAAAATTATTTTGTCTCTAAAGCAATGCGCTCAGCACTTGGCTCAACATACTATTTAGCAGATTTATATAATAAAAGGGGAGAACTTTTGCAATTATAAAGAAGTTTTCGAAAGGTGTAGGTAATTATTGAAGCTCCAGCTCATATCCATTAGCAGGTGAGGTGAGATAAGCTTTAAATCATGAATAGAATGCTAGTGACATCTGTCAAACTGCAGTGACATTTGTTGCTATAGAGTAGAAATGTAAGGAAATCCCTTTAAACGTCTTTATTGTCGTTCGTTTTATAGACAAGTTTAAAATATATACAGTATATATTCGTATATTAAAATAAATATAAAAAATTACTAAAACTAGTAACAACTTAAAATGATGCGTGTAGATGGTATAAGTAAAAAACCATATTTGAGACAAACTTAAAATGAATACCTTATTTTTAAGAGGACTTATGATGCAACAAAAAATATATATATACATACACATAAATATATCCATATTATAGGGCTAGTGCCCATTTATGATCTCAACAAGTTGGATGCGTTAAAGTGATTAATTCTATCTAATATCACTTGTTTGAAAACTGTTGATAAGTGAATGAAACAAAGCACGGAAACAAACAATTATAATAATTAACATGATGCGTATATAATAAATTATCGAAAGGAAAATTCCATAGTTTAAAAGGTAAAAGTACCACCAACAAATACAATTACTACTTACAATTTCATTTAAAACAAAAAAAAAAACAATGAAAAAAATGTAGCGCACTTTCTTTGGCGCTACGCCAAAAAAAGCAATATAATAAACTGAAATTAATATTCGACTTAATATGCTGCACACATATGTCTTACTTATGCATGTATACATACAATAAATGTATGTTTAAATTATTTGAATTTCAGCTTCTTCTTAAAAGGGTTACATAATCACGTTTTTTCTTCAAATTGTTTTTTTCCGGAAAAGCAAAAATCAAATATGCAAATTATTAACGCAATATTTATTCGAACAATTATACATAAAAACTTTCTTGTAATTGCTTAGTATTGAACCGTTGAACATGATGGAATTCGTAACATACCTAAATGAATTTCCAATAGCAACAGAAACAACACCACATTCACAACAGACAACAACAATGAATAATCGTTTGCTTGGATTCAAATAAAATTTAGATGTGTTACCTAGAGGAACCCATAAAACAACTACGATTTTACTAACTATTTTATTATGGCATAGTGGCCATTGTTTTTCGGGGGGCGGAAACTATGGAGAAGTGTTTATTAGAACAATTCTAAATGACGCGAAAAGTATACTTTTCTCATTCCAACGATAGCCGGTTCAACGCCCTGAAATACCTCGGGGGGGTTTACTCGGCCAAGGTGGCTACTTAGATGAGCGGCATTGACTCTCACTATGTGTGGCAGAGACGGCTCCAACTGAACTCGG